CACCCTCGTGTAGTCGATAGGCATTAAACCTATTAAATTAACAGTTTACAGTACTCTAAATGGAATGAACCTAAATGATAAGATACAGTTAGGAGAAAGAACAGAGATGATACAGTTTGGAGAGAGTACAAATAAGAAAACTACAGTTAGGAAAGAGTACAGATAAGACTACAGTATAAGTGCAGATAAGATACAGTTAGGAAGGAGTACAGATAAGATACAGGTAGGGAAGAGTACTGACAAGAAGAATGCAGTTAGGAGAGAGTACAAATAGGACTACAGTCAGAAGAGAGTACAGATAAGATTAGAGTTAAGAGAGAGAGAGAGAGGAGAGAGAGAGAAGAGAGAGAGAGAGAGAGAGAGAGAGAGGAGAGAGAGAGAGAGAGAGAGAGAGAGAGAGAGAGAGAGAGAGAGAGAGAGAGTAGAGTGAGTGTAAGCAGAGAACATGTCTCCATCACAGTTACCAGAGAGTGACAGGGGAGACTGGGAGAGGTTTCGTGATAACAAGTTGTAGGGCGAGACACTTGTGTATACTTCAAGACATTTATTAAGGGACACATTTCGCCACCGGTGGCGGCTCCATCATTGGGAATGATGAAGACACTCCTGGTGAAACGTTTCCTTTAATAAATGTTCGGGACGGTACGCCAGTGTCAAGTTCCACTGGAAACTGAGCCAGTGGAAGATATAACGCACGTTGTGGAACTAGGCTTTCACTGCGGACAACGTTTCGCTCTGTGTAGTGGCTAAAGTCTATGCAGAGCGAAAAGTTTTCCCGATAAAAGCTTCCGTTACCTGTGTTTTTGTCAGCATCTGGATGCAAATGAGTTAATTACTGAGGCAAAACAAAACAAATACCTGGGCAGTGTCATTATGAAGGTTAGGCGAAACGTACTGGCAAGTCTCCTAAACATGTGTTGCCCATATTCACCTAAATAGGTACTTGGGAGTTTGTCGGCTGGTGTGGGTGGCATCCTGGAGGGTGTAAGTGTACCTTAGCCAGGGCTGGGCTTTGAAATAAGCTGAGGCAGGATAGCAGCTCTTATCCCCTGAATGAGCTGAGGCAGGATAGCAGCTCGTATCCTGTAAATGAGCTGAGGTAGGATAACAAATCTTAGTCTGTAAATGTAACTCTTTAAAAACCTAAAGAAAAAAATACTCGAAAACAGGGGTTCTTAACTTTTTTTTTTTTACAATTAATCCCCCAAGTGACTTGCCAAATAAGTCCCCGATCCACCATGAAGCCTGGCCACAGACCGGGCCGCGGGGGCGTTGACCCCCTGAAACCCTCTCCAGGTATACCACCTTCCCCAGACTGATGAAACCATTATCATTTTAACCAGTCCTATTAGGTACCCGTATGGCTTCAAAAAAAATAATGTCACAACAGCTTGACTTTACATACCTGGAGTTTACCTGGAAGGTATTCCGGGGATCAACGCCCCCGCGGCCCGGTCCACTACCAGGCCTCTCGGTGGATCAAGGCCTGATCAGCCAGACTGGTACTACTGGCTGCACGTACACATGGACAGTTAAGAACAGAACAGCTGATTCTAGTCTAACAACAACAATGATTTTTTTTGGGGTAAAATTGTTCCGAGATCGAGTCCCATGCCTCCATTATTTGGTTCCCACGCTCCCAAGGGGGTGTGGATACCCCCCCCCCCCGCCTGGTTAAGAACCCCTGGTCTAAAAGGTGAATTGAAAAAGGCTTACTGTACTTAGTCTGGAGTGATTATAATATGGAATTAACATGAGTGTTTCAAAAACTGATGTGGATAATCCAAACCCACCTGAAGTGGATATTCTGAAAAACAGAAATGGATATTCCAACAAGAGACGAGGATATTGCAAAAAAAAAAAAAAAAAAAAAAAAAAAAGAAGTGGACGTTCCCCCCAAAAAACAGTAGTGGATATTAAAAAAAAAAGTGAATATTTAAAAACAAAGTGGACATTCCAAAAAAAACAGAAGTGGATATTAAAAACACAGAGGTGGATATTAAAAAGAACAGAAGTGGATATTCCAAAAAAAAGTGAATATTAAAAAAAAAACACAAGTGGATTAAAAAAAAAATATACAAAAAACACACAAGTGGATTAAAAAAAAAATATACAAAAAACACACAAGTGGATTAAAAAAAAACAGAAGTAAATAGTATTATAAAAAAAATGGATATCCCAAAAAAGCAGTGGATATCCCCCAAAACAGAAGTGGATATCCCCAAAAAACCTAAGTGGATATTCCCCAAAACAGAAGTGGATATCCCCCAAAACAGAAGTGGATATCCCCCCAAAAACAGAAGTGGATATCCCCCAAAACAGAAGTGGATATCCCCCCAAAAACAGAAGTGGATATCCCCCAAAAAACAGAAGTGGATATCCCCCAAAAAACAGAAGTGGATATCCCCCCAAAAACAGAAGTGGATATCCCCCCAAAAACAGAAGTGGATATCCCCCCAAAACAGAAGCAGGTACTAAAAACAAACGTTTTTATCCCAGAACCAAAATCAGATATTCATAACAGCTTGACCAGCCAATTAAGAGGCAAATAAACGATGCGTTGAAACACAAGTGTGAAGGAAGAACGAAGCAGCGGATGAAAGACCAGAACGATGCTGGATCGAAGGAATTGATGAAGAGGAGGAAGAAAAACGGCAAACAACTTTAGTTGATGCTCGACACTATAGGAAGAAGAGAATTAATATTTTACTGAATAGGGAAAGTAAATATAAAGAAAATCTTTACGGAAATCAGAAACCTGTGTTGGGGTTTTATTGTGTCTACACTATTTTTGTGTGTATGCAAATATGTCATATTTACGTAGAATAATATAATATACGGTGATATTTTATGCAAAAATCTTAACCTATTTTACAACAATCTTATTTATGTTTTTTTTATCAAACTTAATCATTACTTCGTTTTAATTTAAACTAAGGAAAAAGTGATCATTACCTTCACAAAAGAGGGGGCTAAAATAATTGAAAATTCTGGCCTAGACTCTTAGTATAATGATTAATATCATTGTATAAGTTGAGCTTTAGTCGTCTATAACGTAAACTGATGATGATCAACATTTGAACTGACTCTAACAAAATAATTATATATGATTGAGACAAGCAAAAGCAGTAGTATTTGTATATCTTACCGGGACATACGTTGTCTTACCGGGACATACGTTGTCTTACTGGGACATACGTTGTCTTGCCGGGACATACGTTGTCTTACCGGGACATACGTTGTCTTACCGGGACATACGTTGCCTTACCGGGACATACGTTGTCTTACCGGGACATACGTTGTCTTACCGGGACATACGTTGCCTTACCGGGACATACGTTGTCTTACCGGGACATACGTTGTCTTACCGGGACATACGTTGCCTTACCAGGACATACGTTGCCTTACCGGGACATACGTTGTCTTACCGGGACATACGTTGTCTTACCGGGACATACGTTGCCATACCGGGACATACGTTGCCATACCGGGACATACGTTGTCTTACCGGGACATACGTTGTCTTACCGGGACATACGTTGTCTTACCGGGACATACGTTGTCTTACCGGGACATACGTTGTCTTACCGGGACATACGTTGCCATACCGGGACATACGTTGCCTTACCGGGACATACGTTGTCTTACCGGGACATACGTTGTCTTACCGGGACATACGTTGCCTTACCGGGACATACGTTGTCTTACCGGGACATACGTTACGTCTTACCGGGACATACGTTACGTCTTACCGGGACATACATTACGTCTTACCGGGACATACATTACGTCTTACCGGGACATACATTACGTCTTACCGGGACATACATTACGTCTTACCGGGACATACATTACGTCTTACCGGGACATACATTACGTCTTACCGGGACATACATTACGTCTTACCGGGACATACATTACGTCTTACTGGGACATACGTTACGTCTTACCGGGACATACATTACGTCTTACCGGGACATACATTACGTCTTACCGGGACATACGTTACGTCTTACCGGGACATACATTACGTCTTACCGGGACATACGTTACGTCTTACCGGGACATACATTACGTCTTACCGGGATATACGTTATATTGCATAGACAAGCGTGCAGGGCAAGTTTTCTTTGGCAAAAATTCTCTTTTTCGTAGTTCGCATGGCTGTCTTAAACTCTACATGTATATATACTATGTACAGCGTATGAAGATTTATCTGTAAAAGCTAAAAAACAAATTGAAAGGCAGTTGTTTTGATCAGTATTATGAAGTAACACCAGCTATGGCTTTGCGTGTTGACAAACTCAAATGACTCGGTTAAGATATCTTCCCAAGGCAATCTGTGCCGTGGTTATCAATAATGTATCGCTAAGCCTTCTAACAAGCTATTAAAATGTGCTACCAAGACACATAACGTGTCCCCTTGTGATTACCTAGCAAGCTTCTCTCTGATAATAGCAGCATATACCTCCACTTTGTTTTGCTGCAGATATCTGGGTGATAACGACTGCATTCATCTGCAGTGTGCATGACCTTAAAAAAGGAGTGAGAAAGAAAATATTTACCAAAAAAAGTCTTGCCTCTGGAGACCATGGGGAGAGGCTCTAGCTTGGCACATTTCAGGCACATAATAACAGTATTTTCGATTATAACAACAGTAGAAACAGTCATTAGGAATTATCACATCTCTCACAACGTCCTCATGTCCTCATTTTTTCCATTCTAGACAATTTCCTTCTGGCTGTTAAAAATCCCTGTTGAACAACAGAGAATAGAAGAAGATACGATGCCAATTTTCAAGCAAATATATTTTTTTTTTTTGCAGTGAAGATATTTTGAAAGATTATCTATAATTTGATTGTAAAAAATGTCACGAATGAGCACTATTAATCTAATCTTCCAACTAATATTCACTAGCGAGCTGTAGAACCACAGCATAAACAGTTCACTGTCCCTGAAGGATTTTTAAGGATCATCTGCGTCTATATCTGGAAAGTCCTTCAGTAACGCATAGGACTGAGAGCATAATAGTTCAGGCGCCCGTGTTCAGCATCAGGTATCTCGAAAGGAAGTTTCAAGTCTATATTGTGCTTGTCCACTCCCGGTTGTGTTTGATCATCACTTTGATTACTGTGAGGTTCCTCTTTTCCACCATTTTCTCTCCAACTGCTTGGAAGAGTCGGCTCTGGGTGGGACTCAGAATCTACAGAGTCAAACGATTCACTTCTTATAGCATCAGGATCAGAACTTTCTGAATTTGTCCCATCAACCCACCGACCTGTATCCCTTCCAAATCGAGATCTTTTAGTATTTGAGGAACCTTTGGGACTTAAACCTAAGAAACTCACAGCATCCAGATCAGAGGAAGGTGTCCCTAGGTCACCCCTTTTTAATTCTATCACTTCGGTGTGTTCCCCGTCCCCCACCTGAGAGCTGTGAGGCTGGAGCCAATGTCTGGAGGCAGCCTCCTCATCCCCACCGTCACCCTCTGAGGTTTCATGTATAACACTTGATTGAATGTCCGCTGGTGACACTGAGGCTCTGGTCCGTAACCTGAATTTTGGGGGGCAGCATGAAGCCTCAGGTATTATGCTGAGCGAACTGGAAACTCCTGCAGGATTCACCCGGGATGAAGCCCGCTTACGAGCTTCCCTGCCGAGGCTCGCGCACCTGTTGATCACCACCTGGAGCTCTTCATCTGGAGTTGTGATGAGAGATGCAGTGTGACCTGTGAAAACAAGAATAATTAAAATGGGAATTAGTCAACCGTTTATCTTGGTTGCAAATTACGCGATCGAGAGAAGAGGATAAACAGTGACTAAACACGGTGAATGGCATGCAAGTTACTCAGTCTGTTAGGGCAAGTAATCACTGCTAAATCTGGCCAGTAACTGACAATATGAACATTATAACAGAACTTCACTTGGTTAACAGGACTTTGACAACGACACGACCTGCTGTTGCTAAAAAAAGATTTTTGATAAAAAAAAGGCCGGCTGTTTTTAACAGAGGATTTTGATAACGACGGAACCGGCTGTTTCAAACAAAGTATATACCATTCCATTCCCAAGCACAAGATCAGAATGATACATACTAACTCTTTTAATTATTTTTTTTAATATTGTGATAATGTTACAGCACTCAACCTTGTGTTTGCAGATCTCTAAAACTTTCGCAAATGATACAAAGAATATTGTTGCAGTGCTGACCGAGGAGGTGAGCAGCGATGACCTTGGTAGCGTTCCGTCCCGTGAGTCTTGGCGGCTGGGCGGCCAAGAGACCCATCGCCCGCTCCGCCGCCCTCCCGTCCACCTCCTCCAGGCTAGTGACTCCAGGCAGCTCCCCAAGGATCTCCGCCGCTAGGGCGCGGGTGTTCAGGGGCAGCACGTTCTCCTTGAAGGCGTGTTCTATATTCCCTGTGGGCAAGCGACATTGTTTGGTAATATGCAAGCCTCTATGATGGAGGAATGACTTGGGAAAATAGCAATGGAAGGATTGTAAACAAGTTGGGAAAAATAGTAATGGAAGGATTGTAAACAACTTGGGAAAATAGTAATTTAAGGATTGTAAACAGCTCATTGAAAGGAGCTGGAGTTCTAACCTACGGCAAACTAGCTCTTAAAGTAGCATGTCAGGAAAATAACATGGTTGTTAGCATGGCATGAGGCATAGTCTACTCAACTATTATGTTAAGGTTCAGTAGTGCTGTGTATGAATATTTCAATTCGGACAGTATTATATATATATATATATATATATGTATATATATGTATATATATATATATATATATATATGTATATATATATATATATATATATATATATATATATATATATATATATATATATATATATATATATATATATATACATACATATATATATATATATATATATATATATATATATATATATATAATATATATATATATATATATATATATATATATATATATATATATATATATATATATATATACCTAACAATTCGCAAATAGGCGAAATAATTTCCAAACATTATCTCTATCCACAGCAGAACTCGAACCTGCAAACTTGGCATCAGAGTACACAACACGTAATCCACAACGCCAGACTCCAGACTGGAGTCTGGCGTTGTGGATATATATATATACACGTTAAAATAATGATGTAGAGATTAGACTGACCTGCAGGGGTGTAGTGGGCAACCACAATGATCTTGCCTGACCTGCTCCTCGCCCTGCCCACACCAAACTCTTGACTCTCCTGCCATACCATCTGCGTGAATGGACCTGCAAAGTGAAGGAAGGTGCTTAAGGGGAACGTACTTACAACTACCAACGTTAACAACTAACCCAGAAAGTGAATAACTGATGCGATGTTTCTCTCTCCATACTGGAGTCTGGAATCATTTTAAGAATGTTTACAAGTTAATTCTGACTATTAGGGATGTGTTGTTGTTGTTGTTGTTGTTGTTGTTGTTGTTGTTGTTGTTGTTGTTGTTGTTGTTGACGAATTATAAAGGCCAGATGCTTACTGAACTTTATTAAAGTATTGTTACTAAAGTTATAGGTAAAATACGTGTTTAAAGTGCATTTTTTAGGCAAAGTAAAATATAAGAATAAACAAAATGAGATTTAATAGAAGAAATGCAGTGGAGTGGAAGTTAAGAGTGGAGTTAAGAGTGGAAGTTAAGAGTGGAAGATAAGAGTGGAAGATAAGAGTGGAAGTTAAGAGTGGAAGTTAAGAGTGGAGTTAAGAGTGGAAGTTAAGAGTGGAGTTAAGAGTGGAAGTTAAGAGTGGAAGATAAGAGTGGAAGTTAAGAGTGGAAGTTAAGAGTGGAGTTAACAGCGGAAGTTAAGAGTGGAGTTAAGAGTGGAAGTTAAGAGTGGAAGATAAGAGTGGAAGTTAAGAGTGGAAGTTAAGAGTGAAAAGTAAGAGTGGAAGATAAGAGTGGAAGATAAGAGTGGAAGTTAAGAGTGGAAGTTAAGAGCGGAAGATAAGAGTGGAAGTTAAGAGTGGAAGTTAAGAGTGGAAGTTAAGAGTGGAAGTTAAGAGTGGAAGATAAGAGTGGAAGTTAAGAGTGGAAGTTAAGAGTGAAAAGTAAGAGTGGAAGATAAGAGTGGAAGATAAGAGTGGAAGTTAAGAGTGGAAGTTAAGAGTGAAAAGTAAGAGTGGAAGATAAGAGTGGAAGATAAGAGTGGAAGTTAAGAGTGGAAGTTAAGAGTGGAAGATAAGAGTGGAAGTTAAGAGTGGAAGTTAAGAGTGGAGTTAAGAGTGGAAGTTAAGAGTGGAAGATAAGAGTGGAAGTTAAGAGTGGAAGTTAAGAGTGGAGTTAAGAGTGGAAGTTAAAAGTGGAAGATAAGAGTGCAAGTTAAGAGTGGAAGTTAAGAGTGGAAGATAAGAGTGGAAGTTAAGAGTGGAAGTTAAGAGTGGAAGTTAAGAGTGGAAGTTAAGAGTGGAAGATAAGAGTGGAAGTTAAGAGTGGAAGTTAAGAGTGGAAAGTAAGAGTGGAAGATAAGAGTGGAAGATAAGAGTGGAATTTAAGAGTGGAAGTTAAGAGTGGAGTTAAGAGTGGAAGTTAAGAGTGGAAGATAAGAGTGGAAGTTAAGAGTGGAAGTTAAGAGTGGAGTTAAGAGTGGAAGTTAAGAGTGGAAGATAAGAGTGGAAGTTAAGAGTGGAAGTTAAGAGTGGAAGTTAAGAGTGGAAGTTAAGAGTGGAAGATAAGAGTGGAAGTTAAGAGTGGAAGTTAAGAGTGGAAAGTAAGAGTGGAAGATAAGAGTGGAAGATAAGAGTGGAAGTTAAGAGTGGAAGTTAAGAGTGGAAGTTAAGAGTGGAAGTTAAGAGTGGAAGATAAGAGTGGAAGTTAAGAGTGGAAGTTAAGAGTGGAAAGTAAGAGTGGAAGATAAGAGTGGAAGTTAAGAGTGGAAGTTAAGAGTGGAAGATAAGAGTGGAAGTTAAGAGTGGAAGTTAAGAGTGGAAGATAAGAGTGGAAGTTAAGAGTGGAAGATAAGAGTGGAAGTTAAGAGTGGAAGATAAGAGTGGAAGATAAGAGTGGAAGTTAAGAGTGGAAGTTAAGAGTGGAGTTAAGAGTGGAAGTTAAGAGTGGAGTATAAGAGTGGAAGTTAAGAGTGGAAGTTAAGAGTGGAGTTAAGAGTGGAAGTTAAGAGTGGAAGATAAGAGTGGAAGTTAAGAGTGGAAGATAAGAGTGGAAGTTAAGAGTGGAAGTTAAGAGTGGAAGTTAAGAGTGGAAGTTAAGAGTGGAAGTTAAGAGTAGAAAGTAAGAGTGGAAGTTAAGAGTGGAAGGTAAGAGTGGAAGTTAAGAGTGGAAGGTAAGAGTGGAAGTTAAGAGTGGAAGTTAAGAGTGGAAGTTAAGAGTGGAAGTTAAGAGTAGAAAGTAAGAGTGGAAGTTAAGAGTGGAAGTTAAGAGTGGAAGTTAAGAGTGGAAGTTAAGAGTGGAAGTTCAGAGTGGAAGGTAAGAGAGGAAGTTAAGAGTGGAAGGTACGAGAGGAAGTTAAGAGTGGAAGTTAAGAGTGGAAGTTAAGAGTGGAAGTTAAGAGTGGAAAGTAAGAGTGAAAGAGTTTCGTTTATCTTACACTACGCTAACACCACCACCACCTAACACCACCACCACCTAACACCACCACAAACATCCACACATACATAACTCCACCACCCATATATATAACACCACCACCCATAAATAACACCACCACTCATACATAACACCACCACCCATAAATAACACCACCACTCATACATAACACCACCACCCATAAATAACACCACCACTCATACATAACACCACCACCCATAAATAACACCACCACTCATACATAACACCACCACCCATAAATAACACCACCACTCATACATAACACCACTACCCATAAATAACACCACCACTCATACATAACACCACTACCCATATATAACACCACCACCGATATATAACACCGCCACTCATACATAACACTACCACCCATACTCACCCTGGCTGGCTTACTCACCCTGGCTGGCTTACTCGCCCTGACTGGCTTACTCACCCTGGTTGGTTTACTCACCCTGGCTGGCTTACTCACCCTGGCTGGCTTACTCACCCTGGCTGGCTTACTCACCCTGACTGGCTTACTCACCCTGGCTGGCTTACTCACCCTGGCTGGCTTACTCACCCTGGCTGGCTTACTCACCCTAACTGGCTTACTCACCCTGACTGGCTTACTCACCCTGACTGGCTTACTCACCCTGGCTGACTTACTCACCCTGGCTGGCTTACTCACCCTGACTGGCTTACAAACCCTGACTGAGTTACTCACCCTGAAAGGCTTACTCACCCTGGCTGGCTTACTCGCCCTAGCTGGCTTACTCACCCTGACTGGCTTACTCACTCTGGCTGGTTTGCTCACCCTAGCTGGCTTGCTCACCCTGACTGGCTTACTCACCCTGGCTGGATTACTCACCCTGTCTGCCTTACTCACTCTGACTGGCTTACTCACCCTGACTGGCTTATTCACCCTGGCTGGCTTACTCACTCTGTCTGGCTTACTCACCCTGTCTGGCTTACTCACCCTGACTGGCTTACTCACCCTGGCTGGCTTACTCACCCTGACTGGCTTATTCACTCTGGCTGGTTTACTCACCCTGACTGGCTTACTCACCCTGACTGGCTTACTCACCCTGCCTGGCTTACTCACCCTGGCTGGCTTATTCACCCTCACTGGATTACTCACCCTGACTGGCTTACTCACCCTGGCTGGCTTATTCACCCTCACTAGATTACTCACCCCGACTGCCTTACTCACTCTGACTGGTTTACTCACCCTCACTGGCTTACTCACCCTCACTGGCTTACTCACCCTGACTGACTTACCCTGACTGGCTTATTCACCCTGACTGGCTTACTCACCCTGACTGGCTTACTCACCCTGGCTGGCTTACTCCCCCTGACTGACTTACTCTCCATGGCTGACTTACTTACTCTGACTGGCTTACTCACCCTGACTGGTTTACTCACCCTGACTGGCTTACTCAACCTGACTGGCTTATTCACTCTGGCTGGCTTACTCACCCTGGCTGACTTACTTATCCTGACTGGCTTACTCACCCTGACTGGCTTACTCACCCTGACTGGCTTATTCACTCTGGCTGGGTTACTCACCCTGGCTGGCTTACTTACCCTGGCTGTTTTACTCACCCTGACTGGCTTACTCGCCCTGACTGACTTACTCACCCTCACTGGGTTACTCACCCTGGCTTACTTGGCTGGCTTATTCACCCTGATTTAATTACTTCGGCTGGCTTACCCTGACTGGCTTGCAGAACATTCTGTGGCTTGTTGAACTTGTACTGTCTCACACTGCTGTACCAGTAGGCCGCCACCTCTTCTCCTGGGGAAGCAATATCGATATTGTCAGCATGTTGTTCTCACGGTTAGTTTACCAGGCCTGTAGATCTGCTGCAGTGTTAATAGTACACCTCCCGATCCTGGCACAGTAGGCCTACTGCAGTGATAATAGCCAGTCTTTCTCTAGCCTCTCTCAGTAGGCCTACCGCGTGATAGAGGCTTAATCCTCAATCCAGTAATCCAGATACAAACATTCTAGCATCCCGGGTTATCTCAGCAATTATTATTATTATTGTTATTATTATTATTGTTATTATTATTATTATTATTATTATTATTATTATTATTATTATTATTATTATTATTATTATTATTATTATATTCTTATTCTTATTACTATTATTATTATATTCATGTACAAGCGGTAACTCTGTAGGGGTGCTACAGCGCCTGGGTCATGGGAAACTTAAGAACATAAGTACATAAGAAAGAAGGAACACTGCAGCAGGCCTACTGGCCCATGCGAGGCAGGTCCAAGTCTCCTACCGGCTTAAGCCAATGCACCCAACCTAGTCAGGTCAGGTCACATTCACTTAAGGAAGGAACACGACAACTGACCTAGTAGCACAAGCTAATCAGGTCCAACTCACACCCACTCACACCCACTCATGTATTTATCTAACCTATTTTTAAAACTACACAACATTTTAGCCTCTATAACTGTACTCGGGAGTTTGTTCCACTCATCCACAACTCTATTACCAAATCAGTGCTTTCCTATATCCTTCCTGAATCTGAATTTTTCCAACTTAAAACCATTGCTGCGAGTCCTGTCTAGGCTAGATATTTTCAGCACGCTATTTACATCCCCTTTCTTTATTCCTGTCTTCCATTTATACACCTCAATCAAATCCCCCCTAATTCTACGCCTTTTTAGAGAGTGCAGATTCAGGGCCCTCAGTCTATCCTCATAGGGAAGGTTTCTGATACATGGGATCAACTTTGTCATCCTCCTTTGTATGTTTTCCAGAGCATTTATATCCATTCTGTAATACGGTGACCAGAACTGAGCAGCATAGTCTAAATGAGGCCTAACCAAGGATATATAGAGTTGAAGAACAACCTGAGGACTCCTATTATTTAGGCTTCTTGATATGAAGCCAAGGATTCTGTTAGCGTTATTGCGAACACTTACGCACTGTTGTCTTGGTTTCAGATTACTGCTAACTAGAACTCCTAAATCTTTTTCGCAATCCGTAATATTAAGATCTACATTATTTAGTTTATATGTGGCATGGTTATGGTCCTGTCCAACATTTAGAACTTTGCATTTGTCTATATTAAACTGCATCTGCCACTTCTCCGACCATTGCATCAGTCTATTCAAATCTTCCTAGAGTGCTCTAATGTCCTCGTCAGAATGAATTCGACGGCCTATTTTGGCGCCATCGGCAAACTTGCTTATGTCGCTCTTTATGCCCTCATCTATGTCGTTTCTGTAGCTTTTGAACAACAGGGGCCCAACACTGACCCCTGTGGAACACCGCTCGTGACGCTTCCCCACTCTGATTTCTTCCTATTTATGCAAACTCTCTGCTGCCTATTTGTCAACCATGCCTCTATCCAGGAAAAAAATTCTCCTCCTATTCCATGTGCCTTAATTTTCCTCAATAGTCTCTGATGTGGGACCCTGTCTAAAGCCTTACTGAAGTCCATATACACAATATCATATTCATTACCATGATCTACCTCCTCAAATACCTTAGTGAAAAAAGTTAATAAATTCGTAAGGCAGGAACGCCCCTTTGTAAAACCGTGCTGAGATTCGTTGATTAATTTATGCTTTTCAATGTGGCTACGAACTGCCTCGGCAATTATTGATTCCATAAATTTTCCCACTATGGAGGTTAGGCTTATTGGTCTATAGTTCGAAGCTAAGGACCTGTCACCTGCTTTGAAAATTGGTATCACATTTGCCATTTTCCACTTATCTGGCACCATGCCAGTCTGTAGTGATATGTTGAAAAGATTAGCCAAAGGTGTGCTAAGCTCCTCTTTACATTCCTTTAGAACCCTTGCAAACAGTTCATCAGGACCTGGGGATTTGTTAGGTTTTAATTTATCTATTTGCCTAAGGACCATGTCACTTGTGACCCTAATCGTGAATAGTTTATTATCGTCTTGATCTACATAATTTATTATTTCTGGGATATCGCTAGTATCTTCCTGTGTAAAAACTGAGAGGAAGTATGCGTTAAAAATTCTACACATTTCCTTATCACTGTCAGTGAGCTGAACCGAGTAACTTTTGAGTGGGCCTATCTTGTCCCTGATCTTACTTCTATATACCTGAAATAATCCTTTTGGGTTAGTCTTCGATTCTCTTGCAACTTTAACCTCAATCTCTTTTTGTTTTCCTTATTCCCTTTTTTATTTCTCTCTTTAACTGAATATATTGATTTCTTAATTGCCCTTCTCCTCTTTTGAGTTGCCTATAGATGCCTCTCCTTTGACTAATTAGATGTTTTAATCTATTGTTCATCCATTTAGGATCATTTTTGTTTGATCTGATTTCCCTATTTGGAACTAAGTTGTCTAGCTAGAACTATGCCCTGGAAAACATCATATCGGCAATCATCACCACCTACCTGACCCATAGTCAGATCATTCCAGTTCAGCCCACCCAAGTAATTTTTCGGTCCTATGAAATCAGCCAAGTGGAAGTCAGGGACAGAGACGTGATTGCCATTATTAGGAGAATTCCATGATATATTAAAACTGGGTGATTTGTGATCACTTTCCCCAAGCTCATCATTAACCTCAAGATTATTAATTAGTGTTTCCCTGCTGGCAAGAACCAAGTCATGCAGGTTATTTCCTCTAGTTGGTTCTGTCACAAACTGTTTTAAAATACAATCCTGAATCGTATCAAGAAAGTCAGCTGACTCTAAATTTCCTGTCAAATTGCTCCAGTCAATCTGTCTATAGTTGAAATCTCCCATTAGCACAACATTTTCGTATGTAGATGCCTTACGAATTTCGTCCCATAGAAGTTTACTGCACTCCCTATCAAGATTTGGGACCCTGTAAATCACACCCAAAATTAGTTTTTCACGGCCCTCGAGAAGCTGCAACTAAACAGATTCAGTGGATGAAGCTTCTAATTTTATATCTTGTCTAACACGACAATTTAAATGGTCTCTGACATACATCGCTACTCCAGCACCCTTCCTGTTGACCCTGTCAGTGTGGAATAATTTATAGCCTTGTATGTGACATTCAGAAGGCATCTCTGTATCTTTCAGATTGAGCCAGGTCTCTGTTATAGCAATAATATCTAAGTTTCTTGCACTTGCAATTAATCTTAGCTCATCTATCTTGTTTCTTACACTCCTGCTATTAGTATAGTAAACTTTAAGGGAGCTAGTCCCTCGCTGCCCTCTGCTGTCCCCCTTTGTTTGCTGACCTGATCTATTGTCTTCATAACTTCATGATGAATGTCTTTTATACATTTACTGTTTTCAACCCTAGTGTTGCAACCTGCCTGTTTCCCACACACACCCATACCTCTATCTTCTATCAGTTTAAAATCTTAGGCATTTCAGCAATGGCCCTCTCAATCGAGTTTCCAAGTGCTACCACCCCTGGCCCAGAGAGATGTACCCTTGCATACATATCATGTTTGCCATAAAAGTTGTCCCAGTTGTCAATGATTGGGATTGCAAGTTCCTTGCAGTATCTGTCTAGCCAGCAATTTACACCAATTGCCCTAGACACCCATTCATCGCCCACTCCCCTTCTAGGCAAGATGCTACATATGATTGGGACCCCTCCCTTAGACTTAATTAAATCTATAGCTGACCTGTACTTATCTAGCAGCTCTTCTCTCCTACCCTTCCCAATATCATTTCCACCAGCACCGAGACAGATAATGGGCTTGTTCCCATTACCTGACATGATATTATCCAACCTGTTACTATGTCACCAACACCAGCTCCAGGAAAGCACACTCTATCTCTCACCTTCTTATTCCTATTACAGAAAGCACGGTCCATATATCTTACCTGAGAGTCACCAACCACAAGAATGCGCTTACCTTTATCAGCAGGGACAGTAGTGCCCTTCCCTTCACTGGCCACTGAAGTACATTCATCCTGAAGAACAGAGAAGCGATTTCCTACCTTCAAATCTCCACTCTTAACTTTCCTTATTTTGATCCTCCTCCCATTACTAGGAACCACTCGCCAATTGTAGCAGGTGCTGGACTGCACCCCACTGCTGGTAGCCGTTACTACCATCCCGCCTACAGCCTCCTCGCAGCGAGTGACAGACTGCACCTCACTGCTAGAAGCCTCATTCCTCTCAACCACTCCAGCCACCTCACACTCACTCCCAGACCCATTGAGGTGGACCTTCAGCCTCTTAATCTCCTTCTGGAAAAGCAGGATTTCCTCCTTCAACACTCCAACCTCAGATTTTAAAACCGTGCAAATGCAGCCCATGGCTTTGTAACCGTCCGAGGAACAGGAATGTGGCACCACTTCCTTGGACTAAGAGCCTTTTGGCAGCAACGAGAGGACCTTTTCAAAAGGGTGCAAGTGACAGCAGAGCACAACACCAGGGATGAGAGTCCAGCAGAAGGAAGTCGTGTTACAGTGACTGCTGGTAAACAGCGATGAGTGACCAGCGGAAGTCTTGTGTTACAGTGACTGCTGGTAAACAGAGATGAGTGACCAGCAGCAGGAAGTCTTGTGTCACAGTGACTGCTGGTAAACAGCGATGAGTGACCAGCAGCAGGAAGTCTTGAGTCACAGTGACTGCTGGCAAACAGCGATGAGTGACCAGCAGCGGAAGTCTTGTGTCACAGTGACTGCTGGTAAACAGCGATGAGTGGCCAGCAGCGGAAGTCTTGTGTCACAGTGACTGCTGGCAAACAGCGATGAGTGACCAGCAGCGGAAGTCTTGTGTCACAGTGACTGCGGGGTAAACAGCGATGAGTGGCCAGCAGCGGAAGTCTTGTGTCACAGTGACTGCTGGTAAACA